GAATTTTCATTTCCGTTGTGGAATTTTTTACATTGGCAATGCTTATCTGTTGTCATTGAATTCCTTAGAGCTGTGTCGATAAACAACAACCAAAAGAGCCAAAATAAATAAATATACAAATGCAGTGTCCAATGCGCAATTGAAAATATGTGCCTGCATCTACATAAATATACTATATACATTTGCTTGTTTGTATGTGAGTACAGCTCTCTGTTGTGTATTCCCTGTCAGGCGACTTAATGCACATTTCGAATAACCAGCCAGTTGTTGACCTGATTACAGAATCTCTTCCTTCCATCCTGCGGCGGAGAGCTGCAGCGATTGCTATTAATTTACGGACATTTTAATTAATAGAACCCTCTTCTTCCTTTCATTTTGCAATAATTACAATTTGTAATGCTATCGATTATGTGAGTCGCACTCACGCCTCTGGCGTTCTTAAACATAATTTTGTGTTTAACATAACACAAGAATTTTAATGTGAATTCTATTAAATAACTGTGTGGATAATATTTGCAAGAGGAACCCAAAACTAAATGAAATATAATGCTTGTACTTTGCAGGTACTTTCAAAAGAAAGTTGTAAGTCTTCCATGTATGTAAATTCTAAAACTGTTGCACAATATTTCCAGCATTTTAACTGGATTCACCTTTTAGTTGCATAACTACTTAAAATGTTCAGCTGCTTGCAATGGATCCTCCACGCAGTTACAATATTCGACACTCACATTATTCTTGTGCAAGTTTCATTAGATTTTCATAAATGTTCTCCATTTGGATTGCCGCACTTACACTCAATTGGCTGCGCATCCAGTTGAATCAGTTTCTATTTGCCTAGGCCATGGAGACGACATGCACAGATGGCAGGCAGTGTGTCGTCGTATCGATGACGACAAATTCAGGCATTGTTTTGAACCACCTCGCACACTCACTCACATACACAAAAACATTTTCTCACATATGGAGGCGATCAACGTTGAGTGAGCAAAAACAAAGGCAAATGCAGGGCAAAAAAGTTCGATATGCTAACAAAATGTCTGCCACAAAATTAACAAGTCGCTGTTGTTGTAGTACGGGGAGTAGGTGAATGCTGCTGCCAAGCGTAAAGATAGCATATTAACCCCAGGCTTATATGCAGCGTTTATATGTATCTTAGTACTTTTCTTTCAATTTCTTTGTTATACCCAGCATGCAATAAACTTAAGTAAGGTCGTGCCAATGTATGAAGAATGAGATGATGAACTGAATAACTATATACGGCAGCGATTCGTCTTTTTTTGTCTGATAGACGATAACCGGGTTTTCCTAAAAGAACATGTACACGTAAGAATTGGCCCTTTTCGTAACTGATAAATTTCAATTAACTTTGGATTATTCAGGGTATTTATGATTATATGACATACTACTTCAAGGGTATTTAAGCTTCGACACTCTAAAGTCTGCCAGCGTTAGCAGTCAACACAAAGTCGAACAATTTAATTATAACGATTGACAGACGAGCAAACTGACAGACAAACTAATCGCCGCTGACAAAGGCTTTTGCGTGAAATAGTTAGCGGTGCTAAGATTATTATTGCATTATAATGAAATGCAGCACATGTTGCACACCATGCTGGAAGTGAACGAAACCTGTGATAATTCAAATAATGATGACGCCCAGCTGCAGCATCTGAGCAAAGCAGACAAGCAGCCGCAACCACATTGCAACATCCGCCGTTGCATCCGTCTGGCGGGCAATGCAAAAGCACTTTATTTAAGTGAGTCCCACATGAATAGCACTTGGCTGGCTAGCGAGCGGGTAGAATGCCATAGTCGTTGGTGGATGGGTGGTTGAGTTTTGTATTTGTAACACTTCTTTGCAGTTTTTTTATTTATTCACTGTCTTTCTAAAGCATGCATATGCACAGGCAATCCTTTAGCATAGCGGGTGTCGTAGCCACAGCTGTACCCCACTCAAACTCAATCTTATGTATATATGTGGTACACTTGGAGAAAGACATCGCAGAGCATCGAAATTTGTGAAATATGGAAACGTTGCTGTTTTTATAACTTTCTCAGTGCTCTTAAGATCTTTGTGGCTCCATGAAACAATATTCAAACATTTCAGATTTATTGACTTATTTACGTAAATTTATTTGCTTTTAAATTAAGATTAAGTTAGTTGGAATATTTTCATTTAAGTAATATTAATCGTAGCAATATTTTATAAAATGAGTGCCTTTTTTAACTACGAACATTAAAATACATATTTTTTTCAAGTGTACTTTTGTATGTGTGCATGCACTTATACGCCGACGTCAAGTGCCTTTGGCAGCAGTTGTTTGGCAGGTCTGTGGCTTCGGCTTTGGCCGTGGCAGCCTGCGCTGCGCTTGCCTCATTATGTGGAGTTGGCTGTGTCTCTTATTGCATCAGGCCAGGCGAAAAGCAGATAGATATATAATCGCTTTAAAGCTTGCCAGCTGCCAAAGCGATTCGATTTAGACTGCAAATTTCGTATTATAATCCTTTTAGATGCATTGAAAATGCTCAATCACTCAACCAATGTCTGTGCATTGTCAGATTTAATTTGTAAAACATAATTCATAAGCTTTATGAAGGCCTACTGTGCAGTTGGTCAACTGGCCCAAAGTCGACTGGGACGACTAACATGAAGGCAGTTGCTGCAATTTATGACCAGTGGGCCATTAAACGAAGTTGTAATGAAAATGAAAATAATTTACCTTTTAGTAATTTGAAAATTTTAATTAAATGCTATCCCTGGCAGCTGCCAGCTTGTACAATCTCAGTTGTAGGAGTGCAAGGCTCAGCTTGCCGCTGGGCGCCATGTGCAACTGCATCAACGCACATTTGCATTCGGGCCAGGCCTGTTTAGATAATGTCCTACGCACAAGAGGCGGCTGAGAGCAGCCCAGTCAAACATGGCAATAATAGAGCACACACACACATGTTCACACGCACACTTTCAAACTGCACATATACTTGCGTAGGCTGGCTGTTATTAAATGCAAGTGCAGCAATTCTCCCAATCCTGGTTGCTGGCTGCGGCTGGCTATCAAGCAGCGTTAGCTGTGGCTAACTTTGGGCTGGGCATGTTGTTTGCAGTGTGAGTGTGCGTGTGTGTGTAATGTGTATTGTGTGTGTATCCTATCTGCATTACAAGTACATTTTGAACAAGTACGCTACGTGTACTACTAACCTTTGGCATTTTCGGGTTTTGAATTTGCTTAAATTGCATTGTTGTCGCTGTGAATGTTGCCCCTATTGTTGTTGCTGTGGTTGTTGCTGTGGCTGTTGCTGTTGCTGTTGCTGCTGCTCCGTCCTGTATCCCCTTGCCATCTAGTGATTATTTGCATAGGCTCACAGCCAGCAGCTTTAACTAATTGAAATCGATTTTGGGCGACAGTTGTGTGCACTTCTCTAAGTCCTACCATCGAGAATCATGTCAAATTCACACACACACACACACACCCACACTCGCACATAATAGTTGTCATGCGTGTGGCTATTAAATCGATTTTGGATTTTCTTTCGCAATCTAAACCTGATAAAACTTGCATGTATCTTAAGTGCACTTAACTCACTCACCGAATAAACTCCCGTCTTTGTCACAGCTGCGTGACGTCTTTTCATATCTAATTAGACGGCTTTCTTGAAAGGCCAAAGTACCGGAGCCAGAAGCCGCTTAATAGAGCTTTAGGTATGCAGTTAAACAACAAACAACAAACAACAAGAAGAACCACAAGCTGAAACGAATGCCAATTGAAACTTTTTTCTGTAAAGCACAACGAACTATTTGAATCAGCAGAACTTTAATTGGTATTGGAAGCCAAATAGCATTAGCTAAGAGCGGGTTACAACGCGATTGAGACAGTGTTTGAGAAAAGATAAGTGAACTATGCTCAACTAGAGTTTAGTTTACCTTACAAGCGTTGGACTAGCTTTCATTGCGTATACGCAATGCAAACTTAATTACGCCTAAAAGATGCAACACTTTTTATTACTTGCCATGACATGGCACCTCATGCGAATTCCGTTAGCTGCTGTCAAAGAGCAAGGCACTGCACAAATGTTGCTGTATTGACATGACTTTAAAGCAAGTTGGCTACATTCCAGAAAATTGACAAAGTTTCTACAGCAGCAGGTAAACATTGCAACATCATGCCATGCATGCCTAATGTTGCGCCCTTCTATATAGTATGTGGCGTATGGTGGCTTTTTAGTGTTTTTGCCTGTGCGTGTGTGCTTGTGTGAATGTGCGAATGTGTAGGTGTGTGTATCAAAGACATCTTGCGGTTCAGTTTACCAGCTGATATTGCAGCCACAGTGCGGTGGGGTGCCAAAATCCAACTGAGCTGCAGCTGGCGACAGTTGTTGCTGTTTCTGTCGCTGTTGCCGTTGTTGCTGTTGGGAACTGGGCTAGTTTACTGCCACCACTGGCTTGTGGTTAGCCCGTAGTGCATTTGATTGATTTGGTTAGTCTCATTTGCAAACGCAAATATTGGCAGAGTGGCTATGGCCGTTGAGCGGAGCAGCTGGCAGTTAGTTGGTTTTGCCTTTGGTTTCAATTTAAAAATGTAGTTTTAATGAAATAACCACGGCATTGATTTTGTTTATCTTTTTACACCTTTTATTTAATTAATTTGCTGCTAGTATTTGCATTTTGTTTGGTTTTAATTCACATACATGTATATATATATATATATATATATATATTATATATTTACCTAAGATACCAATACAATTTCATTGTTGATTATCTATTTTAATTAAATACCATACCATATTTTACGTACACTAAACAGTTAAAACGCACGTTTAAAAAATCAATCGCGTTAGTTTAAATGCTGCAAATAATTAATATTCAAGAAATAAAAAAATGTGGAAAATAAACAAACAAACCGTAATTGCCACTCCGTTCGATTAAGATGCTGTTTAAATCAAATGCAGAACAATTTGTGTTTGAACAATTCAATTTATCACAACAAAGTGAAACACACATATTCATATTCTCCTATGTAATTGTTTGTATACTTATATCTAGCAGACACTTAACATTTGAGTATGAATACTTCTGGAAATCTGTGATAACTTTTGTGGGTTTACAGTCAGTTTTAAATACGTTTAGATTTTGTATAGTCTTTGATTTGCATTTGCGAGAATTACGCGTGCTGACTTATCTACTAGAGTTTAGCTTATACACTTAACGAACAACAATTAGAGTTGAGTTTGAGCTGTCGACTTGCGACTCGGTTAAGTAAATGCATTAAAATGCCACAGTTATGTTGCCTCTTTTTTTTTTTAGGCGTGTCAGTGTCGGTGTTTTGGTAAGTCTGTGTTCTGGCCAAGTCAGTCAGAGCCAGCTGTTGCTCTTTGCGGCTAGGCTAGTATTAAACGTGTATCGTGTATTCTTGGCGCTCCTGCTCCTTTTTCTCGTGATACCTAGGGGTCGCAGGCTGGTTAGTTTTTGCGGTTCAAGGTTCAAGTTCAAGGTTGGTAGACGCTACATGCATGCAACAAACTACAGTCAAGCACTGGGAGCCCCGATTCTACACATGGCACTTACCTTGCCAACAGTGAGGTCAATTCCTCGCGATCCATTTTCGCCAGCTGCGCTTCGCTGGTGTTTTCCATCACGCGCTGCACCTCCAAGTCCAAGGCGCGCTGCTCCCGCTCACACTCGGCTTGGTCGCCAAATTCGCGTGCATCATGGAAACCAGCCGGCGGTCGGAAGCCACCGGACAAATCGCCGCCTGCCATAGCCGCTATGGAGGCGGCCAACGAAGCGGCAGTCTCAACCTCACTGCCAGCACTGCAATGAGGGGCGATGGAAGGAGCAATATTTTCGTATTGTATAAATGAGTTTCAATTATAATTCGTTATTTAATTTAAGTGTGCAATTTTCGCTGTATATTTAATTTTCTCTGGGGTTTTCGATTCGGATTGTTTAGGGTTTAGGTACCTGAACTACCTGTTGTTACTACCAGGGCACTTTCGTCGCTCCAACGTCTGGTTTCCCGACTGCGATGCATGCTTCCGGCTGCGTTGTCCTGCGGCGCGCTTCTCCATCGGCAAGCCAATGTGCCGCGGCGTATTCAGTCGCCGCTCCAGAGCTGGCGAACCCTGGTCATTGTTTGACTCGGTGCTTGAGTCAGGCCGAAACATATCTGTAAAATAACAGGCATTGGCTGCGATCGCATAGCCAAAATCCCGTGCGGCATACGCACCTACAACGGCGCGTCCATCGCTGCTGCGCGTGGACTTACAAGGAACTCGATAGGTGGGCATATTGGAGAACTCGGCGCTGGGGCTGATGCTGGTGTCTGACTCAGACTCCGGTACTACACCGGCATTGCCACTTTTGGTGCTGCGTGCTCCACTCGACTTCTTGGAATGTCCGGACTGCGAGCCAGCTACAATGGTCATTGACTTGCTCAACGTAGACTCATCTGGAAGCGAGCGCCTTAGCATCTAGCTAAAGTACATACACATGTTTAAAGTTTCTTACCATCAGTATTATAGTAGCGCTGCTTGTGCCAGCTGGACTTGCTCTTGACATGCCCGAAGGCCGCATTTGGCAATAATGGATAGGCCGTGGCATTAAGATTCTCGCCCTCCGGATGCCCAAATGTCTTGAACTGCATGGTGTAGTCATGCGGTGTTTGGGCACCCAGTCCGCGTGTAGGTGTCTTCGCCGGTGCGCCAGTCCGTCCGCCATTCACGCTGAACGTGGCATACGGTGAAATCTCGTACATTTCTAGGTAAGGCACGAGGGAAACGAACGGAATGCGAAGGGGGGGATTTAATTGCTAGCTGCAGTTGAACACGTACGCAGCCTATAGATGCCACTCACCCGACTCATTACTCTTGTCCACCGTCTTGACCGGCGAGGCGCTGTACACCTGCTGATTGCGTCTATTCTCGTGCTCCTCCTTGAAGTCGCCGGGCAGCGCCCGAGACTCATAGCCCTCGGCAATGGGGCCGCAAAGGGTGCGGCGATGTTTGATGGTCAGTGCGCTGCAAGAAAATTGAAACCGCAGTTCAGCGATTAGACGTATAATTAAACGAAGCACTGTTAAAAATGGGAATCTGTTGACCAGAGCAACGAAATAAGTTACTTAGCTGTTGGTAAGTCGTTAAAATTGACAAATTGGATTTGTCTTTCAACGGGATGGGTAAATATTATTGATTTTCTCTCAGCTGTGGGCATAATTAAAAAAAAGGGACTCTTAGCAAGGAAATAAAAATGCCGTTTTTCATTTGATTTTTCGCTCCACCTTTACCTGATGTGCCACTGCCAGCCGAGTTAATTAAAGCTTAATTAACATTCGCAAGCAATTACATCCGACCAGCGGCTAGTCCCCCCGATATCCCAATTTAATTTGCATCCACCCTCTCTCCCTTTTGGATCCGTCCCCTGGTACTTACATCGTTATGATGGACACTGTGATTATGACAACGACAATAAACGTTGCCAACCAATCACCGCTGGTTGGATTTGTCACATTTATAAGATTGTTCATCAAATCATTTTCCGCCGGGAACACTGGAGGCGGTGGTATAGTGTTGCCGTCGAGACTCGTTGTGCTGAAATGATAATGCTCCGTCGTTTTGGCGGCATCGTTGGTAGCGGAGATGCGCAGCTGGTACCACTTGGCGGGCAGAAAGTCGCAGAATATTAAGTTTTCACGATTCTCTTCGGCGTTCGATATATCCGATGTGACAACTGTCCAGCGTATGTCGCCTGGGAAATAAAAACAAATAAGTAAATCAAGAAAAAAAAATGCAAATATGTCAGCTTTATTTTTTTTTTGGGCAAAAGGAAATTGTGCATCATACGCCACGTTGCACGTGGCGCCAGCTTCCGCGGTTAAAAAATTGTATAAATATTTATAAATAAAAATACATGTTCATTGCTCAGATAATTGAAAACGTAAATAATTGCATTAATTGAATTCAATTAAAAAAGTGTTATAATAATAACACTTGGCGGGCCGAAACTTAAATACTCTCGTAGATCTAATATATAAAAATTGATTGATATTATTTCGTCAATATTTGTGAATAAGTTTAATGGAGCTATAATACGCTATTGTGTACAGATTTTTTTTAAATCTGAACCCAGTTTTTTAATCACTGAAATTATAGTGTTTGCTTTCAGCTTAAATGCTTATGCAGGCTTTAAAGGCTTTTAGCTTAAATTATTTTGCTGTGTATTCTGTTATGTTTGAGGCTGCCTTGTGAATAAATTTTAAGTAATAAATGCTTCCTTTTACTCAGATATTTATCATAATTTGTTATCACATTTACAGCATAAAAGTCTTTTGTATTATATTTCCCTTCATCTGAATATCATGTTTTAAGCCAGAAGGTATAACTACACATATACATTTTTATAATGAGTTGCTGTTGGATTTGAATAAGTTTTAATACCCACTGAAAAAAAGGTGATGACTGTACATTTATTACATATTTTAACATACCAAGCGGTCGGTGCTCTATAGAGAAATGATGTATACTGCAGCCGCCATTGTGCCACGATGACAGCTTTAAATTTACACAGGTTGCATTTGTGGCAATTAGTTCGTTGCCATTGGGCGCCTGGGAGGCTGTGTGGAATGGAAATTAGTATGGAAATGAATGCATGTGGGAAATATTCAGCAGCAAGTGGCCATTGTGGTCAACTGAAATTTGAATGCAGCCACAGAAAATGCGGCCGCAGTTGCTGCTCGACTGGTCCAGTTTGTACTTATGTATGTAAATGCAATAGGGCTGAGTACTCACCTTTTCCCTTGGTCCAGACATTAATTTCCTCGCTGGCCGCACCATCGCCCACCAAATTGTGCGCCGACATTTTTATAATGTACTGATTTCCGCACTTCAGGCCCGTCATCGTGTAAGCGTTGTTCTCTGGCAGCAGCTCCGTCTGTGACCAGCTATCGCCGACGGTGTGATACGAAATGGTGTACCCCTGCAGCGGCGCTCCACCATCGTCGGGTGCATCCCAGCTGACACGTATGCTGTCAGCGGATGCGTACTGCACAATGATTTGTGGTGCGCCGGGCGGCTTCATAGCAATCACCTGATATTGGATTTCGTCACTACCAAAGAGATTGTTTGCTGTGCAGGTATAATTTCCGGACAGGCTGCCTTCAACGCCTGTCAAGCGTGCGGACCGAAACGAAAAGCAGATCAAAAGATGTATATGCAAATATTTTTTTGCATCACAGCCCTACTTACGGTGTATTCTTAAATTGCCCTCATTGGTCACCTCATAGAAGGGGCTAAAGGTGACGGGACGATCACGCGTCAACCAACGCGCTCGCGGCGTAGGATTGCCCACAGCGAGGCACTCCAGCACGAGCCTGGTACCGCTGGCCTTGCGCACCACCTGGCCAAATGAGGCGATGCGAGCAGGTGCTATAACAAACAAGCAACAGAGCAAACATAATAATGTTGTCTACCGTTAGCCGCTCGGTATTTAAATGTTGATAGGGCTCTTGCGGTTATTTTGGCCAACATGGGCGAAATGTAAAATTTTAATTAAAACGAAAATCGCACAATCGCCTATAGTGTCATCATTTGAGCCACGTGAAAGTGTTTTTAAAGCGCTATAACGCCTACCTCGTGTATTTGTGGCCTGGGCCACCACCGATGTGGGCTCACCCTCACCCACTGATGTGGATGCAGAGACCCAGAACTCGTACATTTGATTCTCGGCCAGACTGCGTGCCTCGAATGTCACTGGATAGCCGTTCTCGTCAACGCGCACCATGTGAGCTGATCGCCAAAAATAAAGAACGACGGAAAAATATTCATGCAATGTGTTAGCCTCGTCCATTTTGGATACTCACTCTTGGTCTGGCCCTTACGACCCGCTTCGCGCGCGTATACCGTGTAATGCGATATGATGCCGTTGCGATTCTTCGGCGGTAGCCATGAAATTAAAATCGAATCAGCCGTCAAGGCTGCCGCTTTAATGGCCGCCGGCGCATCGGGCACATCGTCATCGGTTTGGCAAAATAATGGCTGACTGGCCATGCCATCTCCGGTGGCCGTGTAGGCCAGAGCGCGTATCGAATAGTTGGTAGCCTTCAGCAGAGTATGCAGATACGTTTCCAGGTTCGAAGTTCGTTTTATCTCCAGTTTCGCGGGGAAGTCAACTGTGAAATTGAATTGATAAGCCATATGGTTATGCGATGAGTAACAAATAAATCCAAGACCAAGACTGCCGTATGGTCATTCACTTCAAAATGTCGTTGGTTTGAACCACAAAATATTAAGTCCTTGGCCATAATGCCAAATTATAGCGCCAACTAAACTTGATGGTTGTCTATAGGGAAGTCACTTTGGGGTTAATTGAGTTAAGTATTTGACAACTCTGGCTGCTTAGACCCTGTAAATAGTATCGATTGCCAAGTATGTACATTGATTTGATAAGCGGTGCCAATATCCACAACTTGCAGGCTCATCAATGTGCTGACGCACAGCGCGGCGCCAAAACCAATAAACCAAGCAACTAACTTGCCGCTTGTTACTGCTCACCCCGTTCCGTTCCCACTTTCCACTTCCCGATTACCGCTTTCCACTACCCGCCAACCCCTGCCGTCAGCACAATCATATCGATTGGTGTTTACACAGCGCTCGTCGCTTGCAATATCAACAAAATCAGCGCCATAAAGTGCCAACTGGCAGCCACAAAATCTAGATAGCTAGTTGGATGCACTGGCTTGGGAAGCGTATACTCACTTTGATGCACTATGGGACGATATAAAATTTTATAGCCTTGTATTATGCCGCCATGGAATTGCAGTGGCGGCTCCATCCACGATATCTTCAGGCTCTGCGACGACAGTGCCGAGCAGTTAACGTTTTGCGGTGCAGCCTCCGGCACTGTAGAGTGTTAAATCGATAGAAAATTCAATTTTTAAGCTATGAATTATTTGGATTAATAATAGGAAGATCTCAAACGATATAAATTAAACAAATATTTAATATATTAAATCCAACAAAAAGTTAGTGCCAAAGTTGTGGAAATGGAAATCAGGGAAGAACTCGATTTCCACTTCTGTTTACAAAATACTCACCGTCCTAAGATTCTTCATTCTGTAAAAAATTAACAATCAAAGGCCACTTACCGCCTTCGGCTGTGGTGCCAAAGATGGGCGCACTCCAGGGCCCGGAGCCGAAACTGTTGAGAGCCCGCACGGTGACTGCGTAGCGTGTGTACTTGCGGAGCCCTCGAAGGGTGGCCTTAGTAGTTGCCCAGCCGCTGACAATGACCGATTTAAGGGAGCTGTTCACCACGCTTATGTAGTTAATGTTCTGCTTTTCCTCGGTGCAGTTAACGGTGTAGCCAATAAGCTCGCCGTTCCATGACTCGCGGGGCGGTATCTGCAATTGGTGAGCATGAAATCGAGGGAAACTGGAGCGCTGCATGGGGAGACGGCTGCACACACCTGCCAGGTTATAATCAGCTCGCTTTCACCACCCGTTTGCACCTGCACATTGGATGGTGCCTCTATGGGCGCCTCTTCCTGTGTTTTCAGCACTATCGGCTCCGTGTAGGCGCTACGCTCAATCTCGTTGATGGCCTGCATGCGTATCAGGAATGTTGTCGCCGGGGACAGACCCGACACAATGGCATTCTCGCGTAGATCGCTGTCATAGCTAACAGGAGCAACAAAAAATTGCAGAGTCTATCAAGGATTCATGACTACAGGATATCTATGCACACACACCTGCGACTTATGCTCGTCGACGGCAGCGTGACATTGATGACATTAATGCCATTCCAGTCGCCGCCGGCGGAACCCAGTGCGGCGTGCGACTGCAGATACTTGAGCGCTTGATACTGCACCAGGTAGCTGAGCACGGGCGAGTTTCCATCGAAGGGTCGTCGCCAGCTTAGCTTAACGGTGCGGGAGCCAACCTCAAAGACTTCCAGATTGGAGGGTGTATCAGGTCGCTCTTGCACGGCAAGAAAAATAATTTGCTCTGCGCGTCCATATGGATTCTCGGCTATGCAACGATATACGCCCGAATCATGGCGATCCGAGTGTCCAATGGTGAGTTGCGAGTCCACGCCTTTTTCCGTTTTCATCTCTGCAATGCTGAAGCGAAAGTTATTCAGATCTATGCGGCCATTGTTGTGTGTCCAGGCAATGCTTATGGGCTCATCGCCCTTCGCATGGCAATCCAATGTAACCGGATCGTTCCGACGTGAGCTGACATTACGGGCGGGCTGCTCGAAACGCGCCGGCTCTGCATGATGTAAGGAGTTGAGAAAAGGGTTGTAACCGTTGGTTAGCTTTGCCCTGGATATAAAGCTATTTTTCGCATTACCATTCACATTGATGCGTATTATCTTCTTGAGGCCGGCGCCAATTTCATTGGTAGCCTGGCACATGTAGTAACCCTCATCATTGTCCGTGGCCAGATTAAGGAGCAGCGAATGATTGCGCATATTTAGTGGCTTGAAGTCCTTGGAGGCTTTGCCTGCAAGAGGCGTTTTAATTAAACTAATTGCTACTCGCATTCAAATGCGTCTAAGCTAATTAATAATCCAGCGCTTAACTTTAGCGCTGGGTTTGACCGTTTAACCCATCCAATTTGAATGAACTGAGATGGTTGGACTTGGGCATAAGCCGCTTGGGCAGCAGATTGGCAAACTTACCCTGTCCTTTGAACCAGGTAATAGCTGGAATCGGATATCCTTCCGCCTCGCAATTTATCGATATTGTATTGCCCAACATAATGGCCGTATCCATGGGCTCGTATCTCCAGCGCGGCGCCACTGAAACGTGACCGGGAGACAGTGCCGAAACGTAACGAATGAAAGCGCACCAAGTAAACAACAAAATTAACAACTTGCTGTTTGTGTTTCTCTCTACATTGGACTGTATGTGTGTGTGTGTTTGTGTGTGTGTGTGTGTGTGCGTGATTGGGTGAGTTTCAGTTGTGTAGCCCGAAAAAGGGCAAAGTGCTGGCACAACTGGCGCACAAATCCTGCGTGATTTATTTTGAAATAACAGCAAAGCGAACCATTGGATACAGCTTCCAACGGAGCTGGCACCCGCCCGTTACATTTCACCTGCTTTTCATGGCCCAACAAACTTACCGCGCACTTGCAGTTCCGCCGTATAGTTCACCTTGGCAGCAGCATTGCTGGCATAGCAGGTGTATTTGCCGCTGTGCTTGGCGCTGATATCCTTGAACACCAGCAGTGAGTAAAACTCTTCCTTCTTCTCGGTAATCTTGTAAATTGAAACACACACATAAGATGCACCATCAGCAGTAGCAGTAGCAACAACAAAAATGTTTCACAAGTTGCGCTAAATGCAACGCTAGTTCGACATCTTCGGATTGGCAGCTCACCTGCAGGCTGAGGGGTATGACACTGTCATCCTTTTTCCAGCTAAAGTAGATGGGCATGTCGCCAGAGGATACCGCGCAGGTGATTTGCGCGCGTCCGCCCTCCTGCAGATTCTTGGGAAACTTGAAGGCCTCAATGACGGGCGGACCTGGTGAGCGATTAGCCAACGTGGCAGACATTAATGCGACATCCAACTGAAGGGGAGTCTCCTCTTCAACTTACTGTTCACATTCAATTGCATGTCGCGACGCGCCTCCTCGCCAGCCCGACTGCGAACGATGCACGTATAGATGCCCTGATCCCTGCCAGGCTCCACGTTCTTGATGACAAGCTGCCCCCCCTCCTGCACCGTGCTGAGCGTATAGTGTGCGCCTGAACCAAAAGGGATAATAAAAATGTGTAGAAAATACTGTCATGCGCTCGGCTGCATTTTCAACTGCAACAGCCACGCCTCTTGCCCCGTATCCCGTACCCCCTTTGATTCTATCGCAATTTGTCTTACTTGTTGTCAATTCCTGATGTGCCTTCTCCCAGCGAATTTGGTCAATAGGATACCCGGCAAACGGACAGCGCACAATAATGTCCTCTCCAGCAACGGCTTTTATGGGTCCAATAGCACGCACATACGGCGGACCTACAAAAATGTGTTTGCGTGTTTGTGTTCGTGTGAAAGAGCGTTGCATAATTTATTAAATTAGTAACAAAATGCAATTAGGCGGATGCGTAGCGCCAATGCTTAATAATTCAAATTATATTCTGCTCAGGACAGATGCGACATTAATGCATAAAACGCATCCGTAGCCGGCGCCACAGGGTGCAATTTGTAGGGCCGCTAATGCAGCACGTTGCGTCCGCAAATACGTTGCATAAATTGCAATATTCATAATTAAAAGGCCTGTTCCACAATGTGTATCGCAATGCGCGACAGTACCACAGTGCGTATGCGTGATATTGCTGTTACATAACACATATCAATATATAGATTGGGCTTACATGTCCGCACTCGTTTGGTTGGCAACATTTTTAACATCTGTATAACTTATAACTAGCCAATTACTGAGCTGCCTAACTTGATAGCAGTCTCTCATTAATAATTTATAAACATTTTTTATTTAATTTAATCGCTAATATCCAATCCTTACGCAAGAAGAAAAACATCAATATAAGCCAGTTATTAAAGTACGTCATGCTTGTGTCAAGCATAAAATTCTTACTTCAGACATGACTTATTAACTTTCCTCAAATTTAAATAACGTTTTTAAGCATTATTTATCCCATTAAAAAGCATTGAATAGTATCGAATTAAGTTTAAAAACTCTTAAAAGACTTTGAAAGACTCATATAGTTTAAAGCTGTGCCTAGTTCGTTCTTAGAAACATTTTGAAATGAGAAAATATATATCTTGATTAAAGACCATGGTGAACTTTAAATAAGATTGATCAATTCTTGATAGATTTAATCTAATCATCTTATCTTAAACATAGCTCCCATCATTAAATTCATTTTATTAAATACTGTCTTTAATTTATATAGCGGAGGGTTCGACACCCAACCCAATTATATCACTGGGCGCCACCTAGCGCATTATGGCTTGGAATAGTGGACACAGGCCTAAAGTGATTTGCGACTCAGCTGAAAGGGGGCCGCAAGCACACGCCATTTATCATCAATGCGACCATTTAAATATCAAGTATACCCACACATACAGGCTGCGGGCAAGTGGAGGAGTGAGAGACAGCATCAATCATGAGGCAAGCTCAAGGCGGGGCACATGATTAATATATGTCAGATACGCATTCGCTTATGCATTATTAACACATTAAGATTGTATTATCAAAACAGCTTAAAATTCGGAAATTCGCAAATATGTATATGTGTGTTTGCCCCCCTACTGCTTGAGTGTAGGGTTCCTCACAGAGTTTATGTCTGATTTGACAGTGATTATCCCGCTTGGTAGGGATTGCATTTGCCAAGCCCCTCTTAGCAATGGTTCACATTGGCTACATATCGATGGCGACCCCATCGACATCGTTGCCGTTGGGGATTTTTCTTGGAATTTTGTGCTGAATATGTGGGTATTTTTATTTTTCTTTTTTTTTGCTGCTCTCTTTTGTGACGTTGTCTTGACAAAATGTATTTCCAATCAGTGCGGATGTGGATGTGGGGCACTCAAAAAATTCAAGGCTCAGCTTTTCTTGGCATTTGCATTGTGCTCCACACAAAAATGGCCTTTGAAATGCGATAGGGGGTAGGCAAGAGCATAACTTCAAGTTTCAGTATAAAGGTGGCGTGGAATAATTGATTTTACAGCCTGTTTATTAACTCACCGTAAACATTCAGCCGTGCGGAGTGTTCAACGTTGCCCATAGTATTGCTAGCCACACACCTGTACAGGCCGCCATCGTCGGGACGCACATGTGAGATATTTAAATGGCTTATCACATCGCCAGACATGTCGACAAATTGGCCAATTGCAAAGCGATGATGCAAAGACACATCCATAATGGGCTGTGAGTCCAGAAGCCATGCAAACTGCAACGAGAAGCGCAGCAGATAATCAATAAGGAGACGTCTGGATATGGCCAGTACATAATTTGTGCGCTTAATCAGACATTTGTGTATGTGCGTGTATGTGTCTGTGTGTGTGAATGTATATGTGTGACGTCATAACAATGCATAATAATAGCCATAAAACATTGGAACTTACTTGCGGCGGCGGTGAGCCGCTGGCGGAGCACTTAAGCGATATTAATGGCCCCGGACGCACATTCTGCTCAATGAACGTGTAAATCAATTCGGGCACAGTGTCTGCAAAAAGGCAAAAGTAGCACGTCTGATAAATGCCAAACCCTGTCTCATAAACTATGCATGAGTGGGTAGGAGAGCTGTACCCATGTCAACTTACCGCCCAGCTTCAGTTCGGCCATGGCCTGCGCACTGGCGCGATGATTCTCCACGAGACATTGATAGACACCGCGGTCGCGTCGTCCCACATTCAACACTAGCAACGAGCTCTTCGATAGGAAGCGTATGCTGGCAACAACCAAAAAAAAAGAAGAGAGTTTACGGAAATCAGTCAGAACAAGTAAGAAAGCTCTGGTCGGGATTGCCCGACTAGCAGATACTCTGAGTCCAGCGCATGTCTGCCCTTATGGCTTCCTTTTATACATACGTACACAGAAGCACACACATATACATAAATAAATTGCTCAAAAAACAAAAGTTTGATATCGATATCCATTTCTTAGACGCGGGACAATTCATCGAAGATTTGAGCTTCAAGCATATACCTTTAAGATTTGAAGTCGATTCGTTCAAACGGACGAATGGCTAAATCAACTTGGCTGCTGATGCTGATCATGAACATGTATACTTTCTACAGTCGTTATTGCTTTCCTTGGCCTGTTACAAACATAAGCACAAACTCATTATACCCATTTTGACCATTTTCAAAGGGCCTTATACCCTTATACAAAAACGAGCGAAAAAGAAGAAGAAATACCTATTTAAACTTTGGCTGGCAAAAAACCTGAGCTTCAAAACTGGCAACGTTGCATGAAAAAAGCACGAGCATACAATATGCCATAAACTCACGCCATTTTGTAAGCTAAAAGTGTAAGCTGTGAGTTTCTGTGTGTTTGTGTATGTGGGTGAATGTGTTTTTTTTTTTTTTTTGTGCACATTGGCCTTTTGTTCGCTCAGGCGAAATTTGTTATTTATTTTATTAGCATAAGCATAAAAATTTCTGCTTGATTTGTTATGCTGATTTGCTTGAGCTGAGCTCGGTTCACCCTTCCTATCTCGGTCTCGCTCTGCTTGACCGCTTCTTCTTTGGTATATATCCTTGGGCAACAGCTGGTCAGTTCGCCCACATACACGCGCACACACACACAGCAGAACAAAGACACATATACTCGAATGATGTTTGTTTTTACAGGCTATTTGTACTCAGGGCTGTTTGCCAGCTCAAATGTATATACCTATACACGTTTACATATCTCTATATATATATATATGTGTAGTCGTATATACATATATTGTAGCTGATGTGCTGGAGTATTCAAGTTTGCATTTTGCTTGGGCAAGCTGCGTATTATGCTGATTTCACGTAATTTGCATTAAATTATCAAGATGTGTTCAACCCATTCAAGTGGGTGTGTATGTGCATAACGCCCAGTCGCAGGCCGCTTGGCAAACTGCCGCTTCTAAGATTAACATAATTTATGTTTTGTACACACACATACGTATGTGCCAAGAGCGTATGTATGTGCTTGCATTACTGGTCTTCCATTTGATTTTAATTACTTGTACTAATGAACGATAACAATTACATTCTACTAACTGGCTCTTGTTTTGTTTGCCAGAGAAATTATTCCAGTGTTGCCTTATAGATAACTACTAGAATACCCAGGCTAAAACAGAGCTTAGTTTTATTTTTATCAATCAACCGAAAATTTATTCAAATTCACGAATATTCATTGCAATCAATCAGCATATTTGATCATTGACCTCAACAAGCATCAGTTACTGGAAAAATAGGGAAAATAGTTGCGAAAGACTTTTTAACAATCAGCAAATAGCTACCAGCTGAACGAAGCAAGCAAAAAGGGATGAAAAGAAAGAAGGACACACCGAAAATTAAATACCCTTGCAGACATAGGGCTGAGATATGATCTTATGGGAAATCTTTTTTTTTATCGATTGTTCCCATGGGACACATCAAATAAAGTAGTTTGATTTGCTTGGCTCTCCAGATATTATAAGGGAAAATTTAATACAACAACTCATGCTGTCTTTAGAGGCAGGGTAAGACTCGAAAATACCAAATGTGCTTAAAATATCTTGAAACAAAAGGTTGAAAGCTTTTTATTTCTGAACAATGTTTCCTATTTCATTAATACGATATAGTGACCCGATCCTTATAAACAATATATATACCTTATGTGTCGGGTATATATTTTTCTATGCGTTACACATTTCGTGAAAAGCCTATCATACCCTTTACAGGCTACAAAAAAACTGAAAATACATCGTATGAAAAAAGTGCCGAACAATAGCGTAAAATGAAATTGTTGCTGGCAACAAATGAAATTCTGCCCCACCGACCCGCCGTTCTTGCACCGCTCATCAATAATAATACACAGCGATAAAACATTTTTGGCTAGGAGCAGCCCTAACAACGGTTCTGCAATAACAACAGCGTATAATCCACGGCTTTTTCCAAATCAATTTTTGTTTTTGCTCTTATTTTTTACAAGCAAAAATGTTTTCAACTGCTAAAAAAAAAAAAAAAAAGAGATACAATTCGAAACGGCCCATGCTAGTTCCTGGCTACACACAATGTTGCATGTTGCAGTTGCCGTAGCTGTTGTTGCCCCCTATAACATGCTGCTAGTATACTTACTTATCCCGACCGGTGCTGAGTGCATTATTCGCTTGCAGCGGTTTGCCATTGTGCAGCCAGTCGATGGCATCGATCGCTGAGCCAGTTGTCGTGCAGTTGAAAATTGCCGTTCCGCCCGAATTGACAATTTGTACTTGTGGCAGTATATGCACAGATACAAACGTATTTACACTGAGACGAATTTCGATGCGCTGCTCCCCAAACTGATTCGATGCCTGGCAAATCTGCAAAAAAAAGTGTAAGTGGGGTTGCCACATAAGCCAGTCAAAATCAATCAACTCTGTCATATATATCACAAAAATACATGGCGCAATATACGAGTAGTGCATGTATGTATATATACAGGACAGACTGTGCATTAAATACAATATTCCACTGGCAGACAGTCGAACTGCTTGACTTTAGCCATTTGATTGACTGACTAACTGACAGTCAGCGCCTGTCAGTGGGTTCGAGGATTCTATGTGTGTGTGTGTGTGTGTGCCTGCCACAAATAATACTTACCCATTTGCCCGCGTCCCTTTCATCAGCATTTTTGATGAGCAACAATGTGCGCGAGAGTATCACGCGCTGTGACGATGGTATGGGATAAAGCGCCGCCGAGTCAGAGACACGATACCAGCTGCATATAAATATAAATGTTCATAAATATCTGTTGGTTATTAGATAAAATAGAAAACTAACTTATAACTTAAATTTGTAGTTAGTAAATAGGCGCCCCACTTTGGAAAATAATTTCTTGATTACATTTCCCACTAAGAATTGAATAACGTTCAAGTGTGTCAATAATCAGGATTGTTCATAAAAAGTTTTTTTTTTTACCCAAGTGATGTTAGCTTAATCTATTCGGTCTTTATAGAAAAATCTTGCCTCTAGCTCCTAAGGTCTTTAAGAATATAGATGGGCTATCGTATATACAAGCTCTGAGACTAAGAATGTACGCACACAGCTAGACTCTTTAAGATCGTTTACCTTTAAGGGATTTAAAACACACCTTTAATTGCATTAAAGATTTTATAAATAAATAATATAATTCCCTGTGTGGGGCCATAACAAACGTATTATAGCTGTACATTTATACAACTTATTTATAAACAGTTATAAAATAACCTATGGCAAGAGTAAATATTGAAGACATTTAACATACTTGGCTGAGCGCGCACGCACACACACACACACACACACACACACACACCCACAGAACCTACATATACCAACTGCTGATGAAATCAATAAGAAGCGCTCAGCTTGTAAGCCATAAACCGATTTTACTCATTGGCCATGCCAGACACGTAGGCAACTCGGACTAAACTTTAGCTAAAAACAAAATTATCGCATTTTTCTCGCATTTATAGTAATCATAATGTGCCCGAGGGTGCACATAGAAGGGCATACAGAGAATGGGAGGGCAGCATTTACTGAAAATATGCTGTATAAATCTCGCGCCCTGGCGTTGTCTGGCACTTGCCTGCTCTGTGGTTTGCTATTTGAAAATATTTCTGGCATTTCACGTTGCGAGCAGTCGGAGAGCGCTTTTTGCATGTTTATCTGGAGCTTGTTTGGATATTCCTTGGCACTTGTGTGTGCCTCCTTGCCCTTGCTCAAGCGGCGGGGCAACTTGGTTGTGCAAAGACTCTAACAGACACTCTCTGTCTGTCTCTCTCTCTCTCTCTTTCACTTTCTGAGGCACACATCGAGTGCTTATGACTGCATGAAATTTTAATAAGCCTGACTAAGTGAAAGAGACTGCTAAATTTCGCCAATGCCACAGTCGCATTGGGCTGTCAATTAACCAGGTCTTTTATGCTGCTAATTAGCTGGGAATGAATGCTGTTATTTGATATATTTTATTGGCTGACTTTGAGGACCCTTCCTTGTTTGTTGTTTGGCGTTTGTTGTTTTGCTGTTTACCAAAATTGGTTTTTATTGTTAAGGCAGCGAAGTGTTGACTTTTGTAAGTCGATACATTGAGTACTGGATAAACAAGATGATGAGTACATGTCGAGTAACTTGGCAGACAGCCAGTTCCTTTATTATTTTGTTTTTGTCAACAAAGTTAGAACCCCATTAACACATGGCTAATGTTGGGCTATCAAAAAGCTTTTTACGTTTTGCTAGCCAGAGCCTTATATAAAGTCCATGTAATTAGCACTAACAAAGCAGCCTCTAATATGCAATAAAACCAGAGCCCATGGCAGACATTCAAATGCACTTAAGTGTTGTCTATAAATGATGGCAAGCCCAATGGCATACCAGGGCTTGCTCGACCCCTGTGTATACCAATGTGCGTGCTGTTATTTTATTGCCACAGATAGAAGTTGGCAACTGCACAGATAGCCCAATAGGATGGGCAACAGGCCGCAGAAATTAGAAAGAGGATATGGTTTCAGTACTCACGTGAATATGGGAAATGGATTGCCCTGTATGTTGCACGGCAAATGCACATCGTTGCCACGTTCAACCTGAATTTCCATTACTGGTTTTTGGCTGGTGCTCGGCGCCAGGTTCTTGCTTAGCTCTGTAACGAACGTTTATTCCGCTCGGTATTAGTAATCGAATAGTTGGCTCAATCCGAATGCTTTTCATCTTACCTTTTACCTGCAGTACGACCGCATCGCTGCGCTGTCGATCCCCATTAAGTGTGTTCGTAACCAGGCAGCTAAACTTCACCAGGCCATCCTCGGCGCGCACCGAGCGCACATACAGTTCACCAGAGGCAGCCAGGACCACATAGCGACCGGCTGCAGTGAAGCCAATGGCAGGGAGTCGTTATTCAAAAAAAAAAAATGCATAAAACAATAGCAGCAACAAAGCGCCAAAAACAAAAGAACTAACCAAATGACAACCAAAAACGCATAGTAAAATCAAGGTTCTCGCTGCGTATTCGTAACATTTATCAATAAATGTCAACGCTAACAGCAATACAGAGCAGCAACTGTGCATCCCTCAGGACATGCTGTACAGCAACAAAAACCAACAACAAACAAGCACAACTACAATGCGAGTATGTGCACATAAATTTCAGCAGCAGATAAACACTCACACAGGCACGCAGCAGTGTAAATGCGCGCACGCGAGTGTGTGTGTGTGTGTGTGTGTGTAAAAATGTGGCAACACTCACCAACATCCGACAGTTCCGGCAGCAGTATCTCCTCGCCTCGATGCCAACTGGCCACGCGCACATAAGGCCGCACATATTCCGGTATAGCGCACTTAATCAACGCCGAATTTCCCAAATAGACTTCTGTGTTTTCCACGTGCACATGAAACTGACGACGCACAACTACAAAAAAAAAAGATGGAGCAGAGCAACAACGGCGGCAGAATCAGAAGCAGCGAGAGATACAGATGAGATACAGAGAAATTGCCGAAAATCAACAATCCTTGCGTGCCTATTGGGCCAAAACTGCTCTACGACTGAAAGCATACAACGCTTTGGGCCAGGCCGTTGGGGCCAGGGGAATACTATTGCAGCAAGCGATGGGTGTGGCATTGGCAGACGGGGGCGCACAACATGCGGGACAATAAACGCAACGCAATGCAAAAATGGCAGCAGTTAAATGAATGAAATTGCTTGACATTACATGCGAAACGGAAGTGGAGAGCATACAAAAAGAAAAATGAGTACAGAAAACCAAACGAAATATTTAAAAACAAACAGAGGCACGCGACAATATATGAGTCGTAAAAAAATATTAAAAATGATACACATGAAAAATTCGAAGCGTAAATATTGAATGAGATTTTAAGCGACTATCATGCATCGTCGGCTTTCCAGTTCACATCGGGTCGCAGCAGTTCAAGTTGCGAATGCGGATTGACTGACTATACAAATGAAATCAACATTGACGATAACCGAACGTATGCGCGACTTAGTTTTTTGAATTAGTTATCTAAACATATAGATGTTGCTTGGAATTTCATTGTGAATTGAGAGCAGTTTACAATATGGGATGCAGTCGAACTACTCGACCAAGGAAACAAGAAAAATGGTTTTCTACGGCATGCTGAAAGAAATGTTTTTTTTTTTTGTTAATACGTATTCCTCTTATCGTAGCCATTTAAAACATAGTCTAAGTTTCAATTTTCTTCAGAATCCTTTAAAAAAATATATATATATTTTCATACAAGAACCTAATGGTTGAACGATTCTTCCAATATGATAAGTATTTTGCCAGCATCAGAAAAAGGACTGCATGCAACGTTTTATGATGATGTCCATAAAATTACAGGACTAGTTTGTAAAGCCTTAAAAAAAGAATGGCTGGCTAGACTTTGTGTATAGGCTGCATTGGCTCAAACAAGCCTGCTCCATTTATTAAATTTTGAACACAATTATCAAACTTATTCACAATTTTTTCATTTAAGAAAATATATATTAAAAATACAACAATTATAATCAAATATATATTTAAACTAAATGATTTTAATATCCTAAGTGTCGCATTCAAGTAATTAATAATCCCAAATGTGCAGCTGTCGGTCTGTAGAAAAGGATACGCGTAATCTCGACAGAGCATCTACATTAATTTACTAGCGCGTGCCTTGGGGTATGCAGCATTTGGGTATGTGACAGGATATACGCAGGATATTAAAGTGATATGTGCAAAAATCAAAAACTAACTCAGAGTTGACATCTCAGACAAGAAGACAGCCAAAAGTGAGGTGCAACAAAATCATGATAACTACATATAGAAACAAAAAGCTTGCTAGCAAACGCCAGGATAAAGCTGCAGAAGCAGCCGCCGTACGTGCACAGCCTGTAAATGTGCATTACAGCCATGGCCAATGGAATCGCGTGTGTGTAAGTGTGTGAGTGTCGCAATGTGTGTAGATATTTGTATTTGCGGCTTGTTGTGCATGCTAATGGAGCCGCCATGCACTCCATAGCTGCAGCGTCAGCTACTTTACTCTACTTTGCGCTTACCTGCTTGCACCTGTACATTGCGACTCAATATTGTGCCGGCCTCATTGCTGGCTCGACAACGGTAGGTGGCCTCGTGTACATCCGTGCGATAATATTGCGCCAAAAACGGTGGGAAGTGCAATGTGCCATTGCCAGATATTTTTCTGCAATACAAAAATAAAATAAACTAAGCAGAGCACACACACACAAAGAACATAAGCAGAATGCAATATTTTAGTACGCAAAGTCTTGGAGCTTTCGTCGTTATTTATTTATATACATTGAGAGCGTAACACAAAAATTTGTTGTACAAAGCACCCAAAATGGCAGCCACTTTGCCGGCGAACATTTTTATATTGCAACTATAGGCGAACATTTGCATAAAAATGCAATAAACCTAAGGATTCTCTTATGCACTGAACGAATGGGCTAAGCAGCTGGCGAATGCATTTGCACGACAGCTACTAACAATGGGACTTAAGAGCAGCCATCGCAGCTCCATAAAGGAGATTATTTTCACTAGAGAGGCCACAGAGGAAAATGCACATAAAATATGTAATCTAACACAGGGATTATTAGGGACTATATGGAGCGTGGACAACACAGTTCAATGATGTTGAGCATTTGGTTGCACGATGTTTTTATTATGATTATTTATTTATACGTTTTGTTCATTTTAATATTTTTTATTGTTGTTTAAAAATGATATTTGCAAACATAATATTTAAATTGTAATTATTTGTAAATTATACACTTCGTTAGAATTTGTTTGTATTTTACTGTGTAATTGGTTTCAGCCCTTAGGATATATTACTTTTTTATTGCCTTTGTATAATTTTTTAACCATTTTTAAAACGTAACTCTGCTCGTACAACACATAATACCATATTGCTATCTCTTCAGTATTAAAAAGTGTAGCTCGTAACTCATAAACCGTCGTTTAATTTGATTGTCTCGGTTGCTTAAATGGCCATCACAAGCAATCAACATTCCATCACATAACTTATGCGGTGCGCAACGAAAGCAAACAGCGTACTGTGATCCACCGCATTCCATTCGAAGCACAAAGGATAGCATACCCATTCAATGGTCGCTAATCATCTCTGGGAAGCCAACTAACAAGCAACAGCGCCACGCTGAGCTGAGGGAGGACAACAACTATAGACCGGCAAAAAACATCAAAAAACTTCATCAAGCGGAGTTTTCAAAAATGTTTAAGTGCTGGCAATTTGTTTACGTCTATTGCGTTTGCATGTACCCAAAAAAAAAGGGGAAAAATAAAAAAAATTAACTAAAAACCCCCCACACTTTGTGGGTCGGCGAGATAAGTACACATCCCGTATACTTGTACCCGAATACGTCACTTGAACTCAACTATGCTCTTTAGCAGCTTAAAATGAAATTTGTTTCATTTCCATGCAGCTAGCTCTGTTGCGACCAGAACTCATTTTGGAAGCGAAAACTGCCCGTCAACCACGGACACACACACATGCACAGACGGCCCCGCAGATACAGAGTTATTCACAGTGAGTGTTACGTGAATTGCCTGGCTTATATGCACATATGTATCTATATAAACCTATATGATCACGTACTTTGAATGACATTTCATTTTGAAAAACATAAAACTTCTTTTAGTACATTTTCAACGAACTCTATTACTGTGCGGGCCGCTTGTTGTTGTTTTTATTTTCTGCATATTTTACTTTGATAAATTCACATATTTATTTTATTCGTAAATCAGCGGACCACAGAACTTAATCACAACAGGCTTACTAAATGGGCTAATGCAACATGATTGCGCTTATACAGTATGTAGGAATATTCTAGCTACTTAGAGATGAACGTGTGACATCTATAGCGAAACGTGAAACCCGCTCGTGTTGACTTGTTGCAAAACAAATACTCATTCTTTATTATTTGTTGAACCAATACTTTGCTGAAGACAACTGGAATTTTGGGCACACTTTGTGCCTATGCCACTTAAGAATTAGAAGTTTTTGGAAATCTGTTTTATACAATGTGATTAACAGTGAAATTGATTGACTGATAGAACATATTTTTTATTTTAAATTTAATGCCTTACGTAGCTCCGTTTGATATCTTAAAAAGTAATATTTTTATTTCGTGTGACTTATCGTGTCCTAAACGTCCCATCTCTACTTAGCAACAGACGAGCACTAAACTATGTGCATTTATTTACCATCGCAAAGCATTGCCACATTTTAATTTAACATTTAAGTTTTCATAGTGCACACAACGACGAAAACAACAATAACATGAACAACAGCTAGAGCCTGACAGCATTTTAATATTTTAAGTATTAACAAAGGGCCAACAGAGATGAGTCTGGAGGGGTGTGTGCAGAAATTCAGATTCAACTCGTACGTCTGGTTGCATGACATTAACATATAAGCGCATTCCAAGCAATGCAAGTCTGCAGCACTTGTTGTTGTTGCAGATGTTGCCATTGTTGCTGTTGCTGTTGCTGCTGTGTGGCAGCCACGCATTACTTTTATGTATAATTTCTTTGCTCCTTTCAAGCCGTTCCATTAAGAGTGCACATATTGTTTGTCAGATATAGAAGAGGTCGTTCTTTTGCATATATTCTGTGGCCTTTCATTTGTGGCCACAGAAAATAGCCTGCCACTGACAACATTGATTTTGACAGGGCTCTTGAGAATGGTAGCATACCTTCGGGCACCTGTTTGACTGACAAGCTGCAGGGCTTAAAAAGTTTGCAACTCGCTAGCATGTTAATTGAATACAAGCCCGAAAACACCTTTCACATTTGCCCACAAGCTGAAGCCGCAACAATGTGACTGCTGCAACCGCAGCTGAGAAGCCCGACGAAGCAAGAGAGCACACGTACTTAATATTACTCATACGCATAGTTGTCGAAACCGCAAAACTCACCTCAGCCCAGGTACCTGAGTTGCCAGAGTGCCGTCGCGCATCACCCAGGACACCACCGGCGCTGGATTCCCATGTGCCGTACAACTAACCTGTGCGCCCGTATCGTTGCCAAACAGCAGGCGCGGCGAGGGCTCCAGCAGGAACGTGGGCACGCGTAAGCCGCTTGTGGCCTGTGAAGGTATTACCAGCCAAGCGGCAGCCGCCAGCAGCAGCAGCAGCCGTAGCAGAGCAGTCTCGGCAATAGTTGCTGACAAAAAGAAATAGAAAGGTAAAACAGGATAATTATCATCATTATGTAATTATGCAAATGCAGTTGTGTATGTGAATTGTTTTAAGCTTAAAGCTGGTTAGTTGCAATAGTAGCTGCTGCCAGTTGTTGGTTGCCCTCCACTTGTGCGAGTCTTATAAAATGCAGCTAATTTGGATTCGGTTTCAGCGCACGGCTCTCATTTAGACAGCACTTGAACCAGGCACTCAAGAGGGCCCAACCAGGCAACCAGGCAGCCAGGCAGACAGGCAGAACGGCAACGCAGACGAAACACTTTATACTGCAGGCACTTGTGCATATGTGTGTTTTGCGGTAATGTGTGCGTGTGCCATTTTACTTTTTGATATATTTATGGCTGCGCGTGTACGTCTGTAGTTTGTTTACCCGGCTCAAAACTCGCTTAACTGTAATACAAATGAAGTTTAACTTGTTGGCAACAACGATGACGGCAACTACTTGCAATAACCACAACAACTAAAACAACTGCGGCAGCATCAACAGACGACTGCAATTAGTTACCCACCTTTTTCTCTATTTCGAAGCACTAATAAACCCATCGCGTTGCATACAGGTTATATTTGTGTGTGGGTGTGCTTGTTTTTAGCTTGCTTTATATTTTCTGCTATTATTAAATTAAATTTAGTTTACTTTGGTTGCAGCTTCTCTTTTTCCACTTGTTATTTGCAATGGTTATTTTGTCTGTTTTTTGCACAAAAGTTTTCACTATTTTTATTGTTTCCTTTTTGTTTGCCTTGCTTCCCGCTGACGTCGTCACCTTCCACCTGCAGATGAGAAAACAAAATTCACTAGTTTATTTTTCTCTTTGAAAAATGAATATTTTTCTTCTTTTTAATTAACTGTTATTAAAATAACTAGACTTGACAATCATTATAATTTAAGTGAATTTGTATTTCTAATAATTATAAGTTTTACTGATTAAAAAAAAGAAATTGATAGTGAAAAAATGAAACTAATTGAAGTAGCAAGTAAAGGTTTAAAGGGGTGTAGTTATAACTTATAATTTTAAAAGAAACCAAAGAATAAAAACAAGTTGTATACTTTTTATACATATGCTAAACTATGGTTAATATACGACAAAAGTATTATTATAAATATTTACACTTTTCTTATTATTCAGCCTATTATTTAACTAAACTTTAATAGCTGAAGATTTTTTCAGGGCAGGCCTATGTACACATATATACTGCATCTCTACAGCTCATGTCAAGTTCAACTCTGGGCCAGAGTCATAACAACTGAGTAAACAACAAACAGCATTTTCTATGCTCCGCAGAGAGTGTTGTGCATATAAACATGGCTAGGCGGACGCTGGTGCACAGACCGCACTGATGTGTGGCATCAAGTCTGATGCCACCGACTCCGCACTGGGATTCCAGATCAGTCAAACAAGCAGCAATAACAACAACAACAACAACAACAACGAGAAACGACAACAACAACAATTCAGTTTGCATTGCTCTACAGCTTTGCCGCGCACTTTGTAAATACATTTAACGAGTATTTATGAGCGAGCATAAGAAATGAATGACTTCTGGCATCATTAAATTTTATTCGCAACGGGCACACCCACACGGCAGACGAGCACAACTACAATGAGGAAAATATGTACAATTTTTTGAGGTCGAGGAGTTGCTTTGGGTGTGAGCACGAGACTCTGAGACTTAACACTGAACGTTCGTCTATTCATTCAAAAAGTTCAACAGCCCTGCAAAAACGAAATTCACAGAATACTTATTGTGCTGTATGCTTGCCACGCCCACTGCTTAGGCAGGCACTTTGCGCTTTAGCAGCGACTAAACAAACATCATCATGACACCCATTAGAAGAATCGACGGCACGCCAATGACAGGGGGTGGCATGGGGCAGGTATGGGTAGAGCAAGGGTCACACTCAAGAGTCCTTTCATGTTTGCAACTTGACACCTTTCTAGCGGGGCCAGCACCGGATGCGAATCCTGATCTCTGCTCCATGCGAGAGTCTGACGGGCTTCTTCTTCTGTTTGCATTTAATTGAGAATTTAAAATGATTTGTTTATTTTTTTTTTCTGCTGCGTCTTTTGTTGAAAAATTTGCTGCAAGCGTTTTGGTTCTTTGCTCAGCACTTGGTCGGTGTCGCCGTCAAACAAAAAAGTGAGTGTGCAGACCTACCCCCACACTGCCACTGCCCCTCGCATGTGTGTGCGTGTGGATTTGCTTGCCTTTCATTTTTAATGAGTTTTTATTTTCCACACTTTTGTATGCCGCTCTTTGCCCCGTCTAACTGTCTGGCTGACTGTGTTGCTGGTGGGAGGCGAGAGGCGTTTGGTGACACCCTTCAGCCTTCAGGATACATGCCGTATCCTTTGCGCTCACAAGCGTTTACTTTTCCTTGTGTTTTGTATGTCATAACTGTTAACTGTCAGCAAATTTGACGCTAAATGTGTTGCGGCGCTTTAAATATGTCGCACTGGCTTACTATGTGGTTGCCTTAATGTCACTGTATCTGTCTATCTGTGTGCGCATGTGTGTGTGTGCGTATGTTGGTGTACTAAGCGTATGTCTTTGTAATGTGTGTGTTGGTCTATAACAACTGTTTATCTGTTGGCAGTTTGTTCTGATAATCTGTTGCTCGCTTTGTGTCATCAAAAGGGCAGCAGCTCATGATCCTTTGGAGTAGCAGAACGCCTGAAGCCAACAATTCTGAATTGTGCTAAATGCTTTTCTAACCACAGCATTCACTCGCAATAAAGGACAATGCTCGCAGCAACTCGAATGCGTTGACATTTGTTACAATGCGGTCGACAATAGCTCAATGAACGATTTGAGTTATGTTCATGTAAGCGAAAACTGAGCTCACTAAATTGGAAGTATTAAGCCTTAAGATACCCTGGCATGATTGAATTACGGTAACTTTTCATAAAAAAAAATACACTGTGCAATACAATGTGCTTAACAAGACGAACTAACTTGGCCTTATTAACAGAAACTAAAATGAACAAATATTTTTAATTATATTCACATGTTCTTTTTACCTATTGACTATTATTGGATTATTTACAAACAATTAACATTCAAGTACACCTCCAATTCGAACAGATATTTCAGTTTCAGTTTCAGTTCTTGAATACAATGCTTGCAAGAAGCAAAAATCTTAAATGCATTCAACAATAGTTAATTGCAAAGTTATTTTGAATAGTTCGTTGTACAAAATTCAATTTTAGCTTCTAATTAATTCCGTTCAGTTGCCAATACGAAATACAATTTCGTAAATGGCCCAATAATCGATTCATTGTGAAATGCAGTTTAATTGTTTCACTGGAATTTCAATTAACGTGTTCAAAATGACAATGAGCAAAGCGTCTTACCTCTTGGGCATCTGCAACTCGGCTAAAAGCCGCAATCAGTTTCAAATTGAAAGCACTTTTATGTTTCATTGTTCAGAGCGCCATTGTCTTCATTAAGACACCTGCTGTTGCTCGCATTGTCGACTGGAGTTATATAATTACTGCCTAAGTACGTGCCCCGCCACAAAGTAGGCAGCTCCAGTAATGTGCACGTTGTTAGCAGGGCAATCAATCTTGCACGAGAAATGGACAAAACGCACACCCGAACACAGAAAGTAGAGGCAAGTGCCATACAATTGCAGCTGGACTCCTTTGGCAGTGCCACCCTGCCACCTTCGTTGCAGAGCAAAACGCTTCGCTTTGCATTTTGCACGCGCCTTGAACACACAAGTGTGTTTGTTTGTGCAACGTGAATGGCTTTAAGTGCAATATGCCACAACAAACAGCAACAACGGCGCCACACACAAAGCCAGCCATCCGCACTGTGCTGTGTGTGCATGTGTTTCAGAAGCAGCCGAGCGCAAATGCAGCGTGGCACCCTTTGGGAATACCGGAAAAGTGGGCGTGGCTGGTACTAAACGCTTTTGCATCCGCCATTGCCACCTCGTAAGGCGTCAAGCAATAATTTTTCTTCTTTTGAGTCGAGCTGTTGAATCGTTTTAATGCTCGTCACCTGAGCTGTTTGTATTTTAACCGATACCCTTTCCCTGGGCTTAACAACAATGTTTTAACGCTGGCAACAACATGGGTAGGTATTTATACTAGCGAAATTTTCCATAATTTAAGTTATAGAGCTATGCTTTAAGTAAATGTGAACACCCATAGCAAGCATTTGTGTCTCTTGTAGCTTAGGCTTTAGACAATTATACATAATGTAGCTGTCACAGGAACGATCGGTTAATTTTTCCAGACATCTCATCCAAGCTCAACATTTGAAAGTCTACCCATGCTCCTTATATTTTTTCAACATTGGAAAATTGATATGTTGTCGCCATGTTGTTCAAGGCAACAACATTTGCCAAACTATAATTATTTTAAATAGAGTTTTAAAATATTCATCGGAGTTGATTGCATTTTTAATGTACGTCTACACATAAAGGGTATATATATTTTTTTGTTCATCAATAATAGCCTTTTTTTATGTTTATTTTTGCTATTTTCTTGCACCTGAATGTGAATAAGAATATGTATTTCGCCTACTCTGCTGCTGTGCTTGGGGTAAAACGGATGTGTTTGCGTTTAGCGCTGGTTGACAGCTTGGCAATTTATGTGGCCGACTTCCTGGACGTGAATTTAAAGGCAACTTTAAGCGGAGCCTCGACAATTTCCTGTTTGCCCCAAACCGCTCCTAGCTCGCGCTCCTCTAATGTGAAACGTCTAAAACAATGGATCCATTTGCACACCCACACAGGCTGAAGTGCAACTCTTTGGCGAACCCGGAGCACAATGGGTCGGGTCGAAAGTCAAAGAGCATCCGTGGCGGGCGTTGGGTGCGGTGACAACGCACTCGTAAATGGCAGCGATTTTGCACAAAAGCGGCCACTGGAACAATGACAAGAGTCGGAATCGGAATCGGGCTCAAACCTAACGCCGGCTGCTGACTGTTGCCTGGCGTCTGACGGTTAGCGGAAATGCAGAGGCGACGAGCCACCTAATAACATTTTCCATCTCCAGCTACATAAGCAGCGGGCAAATATTATACCCATCTGGCAGTGGCAGCAGCGTTTCGCGTGTTCCAACAAATGTTTGGCCACCTTTTATATTACATCAATTCAGGCGCACCGATTGTGTAAAGAAAATTGTTGCGGACCAGCCACTGTAATGGTCGCGCATATTTTTTCTAAGCCATGAAAATCTTCCATTGTTGTTGCTGCAACGCCAGCCCAGCCGCAGGGACCAAGCGTTTCGTGGGCTGGAGGGGCGACTGCATTGTCACATTGACTAACGCTCGACCGACGCGACTCTCGTTTCCCATTTTATCACGGCCTCCATAAGGGGGCCTCTGGCGCTTTGGAGTGCCTTTGTTTTGTTGCTGCTTCTTCCTCTTTTTATTGTTATTGTTGCTGTAGCTTTGAATAAAGCTGACTTGAGTGTATTGCTGCGACAACGCTGACGACTGACTGTTACTGACATCGCCCGACTGTCTGACAAATAAATTTAATTGGTACTAGGACCGCAAAGCCGTTTTTAAATTTTCTCATTTTATTGGATCCGACTGCGTCGGGCAGGTAACTTATTTTGATAGCAGCTCATATATTAATGTAAGTAATGGCACTTACAAAGTACTTGCTGTGCTCTTTGCAGATCTGTAATAATGTGTTGAGATATTTACAAATAGTTTGTTTAAGGCTATTAACTTAATAGTTTTTTACTATTTTATAGCTTTCCACTTTTAAATTACGAATTGCAAACATATTTGTAAAGATTTCTTTTCAATATTGGGTACATCCTTGGCATTTAAATGTAAGTAATTCACATTCGATCGGACTACAGATTATATTATCTATTATGAAGAGAATATTATTAACGCAATGCTGATTAAGATTTTTAAAGTGTGTTACACTTTTCCTCAGTTACTGAACGTATTTCTTTACATCATATTACTATACCAATTTATAAGAAAAACTTAAAGTTGATATAAAAATTCTTCAATGGTTACGTATTTTTCCTTAGGCACCGATCAATTGCTAACCTTTGTAAGAACAAATAATGTTTTTACAGATTAAACTTTAATAAGCAATCTGGCCTCAAAGCCTGAACCGCAGCATCTGCTTGTACGGTTCTTGTGCCAAACTTATGCAACATTTTAGCTTATCTCTGCTCTATGCATAATTCAACAGTTTGGCTGGCAAAAGGCACACACAGACATAGCCCGGAATTGCAAAGAGCGCACAGCATTTGAGCAGCAAACCCAAAATATCCATTGAAATTTGGCGATTTGTGGCAATAGCAAAGCAAAGCAAAAGCAAAGCCAAAACTCAACTGGTTCAAACTAATTCGAAATAGACAACAAACCAACTAAAATCGAGGGCTGCAAAATGAAAATTGTAAATCATTCAATGAAATTACCTCGTTATCTTTGGCCACAGAGCGCGGCGAGCGAGCGACTGCTCGGCGTGGGCAGCGGGACGATCCTGGGATCCTGGCCAGGCCGCAGTTACATTGAGTTGCCTGGCATAAAATTGTGATTTTATTATTTTTGGCAGTGCGCCCAGAATGCGGCGCTTTGCAATTGCTTTGTCGCGCAAGCACATTCATACACACACACACACACACACACTAAGAGTCTCACATATGCTGGCAGCCTTCACATGCAACGATAACTGCTGGAAGTGAAAAAAAAAACAGCTTGCGGCTGCATTCAACAATTGCCAAAAGGTGGCCAAAAACAAAAAAATGGAAGAAGAAATAAAAGCAAAAAATGAACCGCGACCATAAATTATACGCAGTGTATAGACGGAAATTTTTATGGACTGTGACTGGGGCGCGCCTAGCTACGGGGGCTCCATTTCTGTTATGTTTGTGTCTTTTTTTCAGCATTGGCTTTTGGCATTGTTGCCGCAATTTTATCACACTTTGATAATCGTGTGGCACATGCTTCACGACACGTCAGCGACCCCGACCACGTTGCCATTCGATTCAATTTGCCCGTCGCTCGCCGTTTTACACTCGATAAATTTCAACAAAGTGCTTTAGTCACTTATCACGCGGCTTAGTTGCTGCTGCTGCCAAAATTTGCATACATTTTCTATGTTTTTGTTTTTTTTTTTCATTTTCATTTTCATTTTCTTCTTTTTATTTTGGTCACTCGACACTTTATTGTGCGACCTTTTTTACACTTTTTCCATTAAGCGTCGCTTTGCTGATTTGGTTACTGCGCTAAACGCGCAAATTATTTCACCTTTTATTCAATTTCACTTTATCCACCAAACGTGACACTAATGTAAGTCAACATTGTGCATTACTGTGTGAGCGTGTGTGTGTGTGGTTGCAACAGCAGTCGCCACTTCCGGAGTCCGTGGATCGTCAGCCACACACACAACACACACACACACACTCACTGAGACCGTTTGGGGGGCCAGCAAAATCCACTTTTGTTACATTTTTTATGAACACATTCGCTGGGACAAATAACCCGTAAAGTCAGTCAAATCCACGATAAAACCGAAAAGCGCGCACACTCACACACTCGCACACAGCGGATGGATAAAGTGTCAGCAAACGAAATGCTGCTGCATAGTTTTAGGCTGCCGCATATATAGCAACACACACAATACACTGCCACACATAACGGTACAAATTCTGACACACACATAAGAACACACATGCACACTTATGCCTGGCCACTATCACCGATGGGCCCTTTCCGGCCCCGAGGCGTCGACAACGCCAGCATCCATTAATGCTTTTTCCATTAAATCCCCAAATAGTGCCTAACTCACACAGGCTCACATAGTCCGAGCATTAGCCATGCAAGTGTGTGCGTGTGTGTGTTTGTGTGTGTGTGTGTGTGTGTGTGTGCTTAACTAATATTAATACACTTGGCCACGGCCAAGCCACTAACACGCAACAGTTTCAATTTTGTCCGCTTCACACGTCCAAACAGTTCGAAATGCCGGCAATGACTGAACTGAACTTTGAATTTGCCTGCTCTACCGTCCTATGCTGCCAGCGACGCCGACTGTAGCATCCTCGATTGCCAGACAGACTGAGCAGCAACGTCGACAGCGACGTCGGCGTCAGCGCCAGTCGGTTGAGATTATCTCCGTCGGCTATTGCCCTTCGGCTCATGGCTGTAACTGTAGCCAAACGTTGCGACATGATTGAACGGCGCACGCTGCGCTGCCAGCTGCGATGTGAACGCATTCTCTCTTTTTTTACATTTTATTCTCTTTGCTATCTGTCTGAGTGTAGCAACTATAGCTTGAATTGTTGTTACTTGCATACTGCGCTTTCATTACTTACGCTCTCTTGCATTAGGACCAGAGGGCAAACGAATTACTCTGACGTCTGTGCCGAAAGACAGAGAGAGAGAGACTGAGAGGGAGAGATAGCGCCAAATCAAGAGATAACGCTGTCTCTGTTATTCCTGACCGCTGTTCTGATTGAATTATGAAGTTCTAAATTATTAATGAGAGTTAAAATTAAATCTGAAGAACTAAGCGTTAAAATTTTAATTATCTTCCGCTGCAAGTGCATTAGTCATATTTACGCTTAGTTGAATAAATTGCTATCATTATTTACTGTCTTTATATAGTTGGTAAAGCAGCATTTACATCTTAAAAACCTTTATTTTATTGATTGAATGTTAATATAAATTTTGACAAAACAAAAATAGAAACATAAATATTACAAAAAACTATGTTTACCTATTATCGATTAAATGCAATAAATAGATAAATAAAACAGTATCCCGTACATCAGCATCGCCCCTGGCGATGGCCTGGGGCAGCAACACTTCATCACCTCCATGGGCAGCTGCAAACATAAATCACGCGAATGTGCAACGCTCAAGTGTCGCATTGGCGCCAAAAGATATGCTACATAAAACACGACCCGCGTGGCAGTTACCCCTGCTCCATGAACGCCCGACCGACGCTTACTACGCAACTTTTAGCGTAAAATGTCATTCACTGTTCGCGGACAGCGTTTGGCTTTCGCTGTTTATTTTTATTCGTGGCAAACATATGCAGTAGCACGTGTTGCTTCCCTAAGTTGGCTCTCTGCTGTCAACAAAACAACTGCGCCTGCGCGCTCTTTCGACGCCAGCAGCGAGCAGCGCGTCGGCAGCGCTGCCAGAGCACCGAAAAGTTTAAAGCCTGACCTACGACAACCAAACGAACCAATGAATGTATTGAATGCCGACTAAAAAGATACATAAGTATGTGATTTGCGTGTGTGTTAGTGTGTGTGTGTGTGTGAATGGTTGTTCATGAGAAAGAGAGAGAGGGAGCATCGCATAGCCTAGACCTGTCAAAGCGCATTATCATTTTCATATATCATGCTTAATGCGGGATGATATTTTCATTTAGTTTGTTCACTCTCATCATCAGCACACTATATAAGTATATATATTAACTCTGTGAGTGTGTGCGTGTGTGTTCACTTGGCCACAATTCTGCGTAGTAACTAAAATTGCCAAATACTTGAGTGAAAGGCTTTTGCGTACATAGATGAATCAACACGGATTTCGTCATACTTCCAGGCACGCAGATGGGCCACCAGGTAGCAGACAGTAGGCAGGTAAATAAATCACAACAGCCTGTAATTTAGATGTTGCATAACTCAATTGGCAGGCAAAAGATATTTGTCGAGTCATTAATAACTTAAATACACGTAAAGGGGATTTACACTTTTCAACTGAACAAAGCCTGGTTTATGCGTACGCTTTTTAATTATATTTAATGGCATTTTGGGCAACACAGCGCGAGGCAAAAAATGGAACAATAACAAGGATGAGAGACTATATTTACATCCATCTATCACACATGAGCTGACAATACAACGACTGGGCCCATCTTGTCAGTTGTAGGGTCTCGGGGTCCGGGTCACGGGCCTTCAACAAATGACTCGGTCCATTTATGCAAAGCTCTTTAATAAATTACAAAATTGTAATAATTTACCGTGCACATCAGCGACGGAGCCGCAAAACAGGATAAGGCGTCCTGCCGCGCACACAATAAGGCTATTGAAGTCCTCTCAGCCGCACAAACACAAGCAAACGAATACGCACACACTCTCGGCTTATGTATAAGCATATCAGTGTATCCGTCCTGTTGCTTTCTGAGTTGCCTTTTGGTGCCTCGGCGGCTCCTCTACAATTTGTATTGTGTGAACTTGGCGAACACCAAATGGTATAATTTACGCAGCTCGCTTATCTTACCATTTAATTTTAGATTTACGGCTTTGCTTTTGCGCTTTTTGTTTGGCGAGTGCCATTTAAGTTGGTATGCGAACATTTTATAACGGCAAAAATGTTTCTAATGGGTGCATTTATTAGCAAAGCAGAAGCTAATTTTTTTTTTAGCATTTTATGTACCGATTATAAACACTTAGCAAAGTTTTATATGTTAATACTAGCGGGTATTCCGCGGCCGTGCGCGTGGCAAGTTTTGTGTTTCAAATTCAAGATAACATTTACCACAAATTTTCCGCCCATTGAAAACTTAAATCTTCCACTCCATATCTAAAAACAAATAATAAACTTGAATATTTTAAATAAATAAAACATTAGTTTTAAAATTAAATATTAGTCCTACATGTAATCCGCATTTGTTTTACCGTAAATCCAGGCAGATTATATCTTAAACCTATTCAAGATTAGATAAGGCCTTACTTAAATATTTAATATTAAAAACACGTTTAACAATACATGTCGCAAGTGCTCTGCTCAGGTAGCTGCCAACCTCTTCAATATTTTACATTTGCAGTCTCTGCGCAAAATAATTTAAAATATTATTTATTAAATACATAGCTTACAGATGCCCCAACTTTTAAAAAGCTCACTGAGTATTAAAGGTTTAATGAGCGTCGTTAAGTTATTAATTAAAATTAAGCTTACAATTTTTTTTAATTGTTGGTAAGCAATGCTTAACACATGCCTCTACAGCACTTAGTACTTCAAGTTAGCTAGCGTTTTGGACATCTTAGTTCTGGCAAAACCTGAACCTGATTCGTAATCGGCTATTAAGATAAAGCTTTGCATCAGCATCATATAAAAACGTACCAGCATAATTTCCACCACATAAGTCAGTTGCGGCGTTGCCAAAAAGCAAGAACATGCGGCATAAGCAGATTCGGCCAAACTAACTTTGCCCTAGATTAAGTAAGGCTTACTTCAACTGAGAATTGTACGAGCAATTACCTCGATTGTGTGATCAAATGAAACAAATTTCAACAATCTTCGCTTTCCCACCGCACTCTAATAATGGCAAGACAGACCTGGCTGTAACGGACTAGAGTATCCAAGAGCTTAAAGATCATTGCGATAATATGTACCCGGTGTTCCTATTGCTTCCGGTAAGATTAAACTAAATAATGTTCTTTAAACGTGGATATCTAAGAAGATGGAATGGGATAAACTAACAACTAAAATGAAGGAATGGGCTGAAGCTCTAGCGTTTTATTAGCTTACTTCGAGTAACAGCAGTGGAAACAGTAAAAAGAATCCAAATCGCGGCACTGCAAATACTTCTCAACTGTTTATCTTTGCTTCAAAGTAAGCGAATCTATTTAATCTACAGCGGCTAATTATTTTAACGTAATTTAAGTAGTTAGAATAAATTGTAAGCATACAAGACCCAACGAGCTAAACTTTATGACACTTTACGGACCTGGAGCTATAAAAGCATCAGGTTTTGGCCAGAAGAGCCACAGTTTCAGTTAAGCTTAGAATATGGCAGTCAGTTTTGTCATACTATACAACTGTCTTGTGCGTGGCCTAATTGTGCAACCCTCAGGACCTGTGTGCTTGCCACAGGCCGAAGAAACACTAACACAAGGTCCACAAATAGTTGGACTAGAGAATCCCACATCTAGTACATCGGTACAATTATTTTCATGCTTGTATGGAGTTGGCCAAGTTCCTGGAATATCAAAACCAACAACTGAATTCAATGCGGACCGTCGCGTTTCATTTGCCTCTGTGGATGATTATGGTCAAAATGGCCTGGAAATCAATAATCAAATAGCCACCGACTACCATGACAACAACGCAGCTAAAAACCCCTCAGCTGATTCGGAACTACTTACAGTATATCCAGTTACCACAACGACTGCACCAATTCAACGCCTACCCGCCTTACACACAGCCAAACGCAATTGTCACATTATCAAATGCCCCAAATTTTCCCATCCAACGTATGGCAGCGATGGTGACAGTTGCTACGAGTTCGTCAATCCGTGCTTCCTGGCCGTCGCCAGCTGCAAACGCCACAATAACCGACTGCCACGTAAGCATCTTTTTTAACACTTAAGCCTAAAATGTTATGGTATTTTCTTTGCAGGACTCAAGGAAGTGAGCAAGAAACAGTGTGGTACTCTCAAATCTCATCCCAATTCTAAGTAGTTAAATGAAATTCGCAAAATATAGATTAAATATATATTTAAGAATACGGATAGAGTAAATATATTAATTTTATTGAAATATATTTGCTCGACAGTAAATTATAGCCCCAACTTGTGTTCTGGCCTATCAAACAATTCAAACAGCCAAAGATATTAAAAATATAGATATAAAGCTAAATACTATAATCTATAAGTTGTTAAAATAGTATTAATAATAGCTTCGAGCTCATTATCATTATTCAAGTTTATCATATGCGATTGCAACTTACAGCGAATTGATTACAGCTTACAGATTAAGCCAAAAATGCTTTAATAATTTAAATATGCCACTCAAGAGTCGCAATTGACATATTATTAAATTTGGCCTTGCCCCTTCGGTCTTGTACAACTTTCAACCAACGAACTGCCTTACTGCTGGGAACTACAAAAACAAGGCCAGCTCGAGTGATAACAACATGGGAGAAAGTGTTGCCTGTACACGAAAACTTTTGCCTGGTAAAATTGGTTGGCAAGAGGAGAAGGAAGGGGCTGTGGTGCTTGTGGGTGTCTGGCATGCGAAGTTGAGCGCTG